GCGAAATCGTGTTCGCCGCGGTCGGCGGGCCGGACGGGGGTGGGGGCGGCGGGAACGTCGTCTTGACGGGGGACGCAGGGTCGTACTCGTCCTCGGCGTCGTCGTCGTTGTCGCCGAGCGGCGCGCGGTCGGGGTCGACCTCCCAGTCGGCCGCGAGGCTGGTGCTGGACGGCGCCTCCTCCTGGATCGCGTCGAGCTCGCGCGGCGGGTCCTGCGCGCGGGTGCCCGGCTCGGCGTCGATGAGGCGCTCGAGCGCGTCGAGCTGCCCGAGCGCCTCCGTGCCGCCGACCTCGCCCGCGATCTTCCTGAACTCGCGCTCGCACTCGAGCAGCTCGCGCACCTGGCCCTCGCGGTCGCGCGCGGCGTCGTCGATGCGGCGGATCACGTCCGACGCGAGCGTCTCGAGGCTCGGCTGCGCGGACGCGGCGCTGTGGTCGGCGTCGAGGCGGCGCAGCTGCGCGAGGAACTGCTCCGTGTACTCCAGGTCGTGCGCGAGGACGACCATCGGGTCCTGGTCGGGTTGCCGCCGGCGCCTCGGCGACGGCGGCGCGGGCGGGCTGAAGAGCGGGTCGACGTCTGGCGGCGCATGGTCGGTGAATGGGGACCGCGGGCGGTCGCCGCTCGCTGCGGGACCGCGGTCGGGCTCGTCCTGCTGCGCCTGCGCCTCTGCGGGGGCGCCGTGTTCTCCCTCGGGGTGTGCGTCGATGCCCTCTGCGCCCTCGTCGTACTCGATCCCAAATTCTTCCGCCAACAGCCTCGACCCTGCGCTCGGCTCTGGCATCAGCGCCACCGCGAGCTCGTGGGCGAGCGAGTGTCGCCCGTTTGCTGCATCCTCGTCTAGTGTTTGGGCCAAGCTGGACCCGCGCAGGGAGGCCGTGGAGCGACGGGCGTGGAGGCTGAGGCTTTGTCGTGAAGGAGACTTGCGTGGCGAGGTCGACGACGAGCCGGCAGAAAGATAGCGGGAGCTCGTCGCTGCGTAGCCGTCGTCGTATGTGGCAGCAGACGGCATGTGTGATGGGGGTGATCGTGCAAAGAGAGATGAAAGAGAGAGCGAGCCCAGAGTCGCCCGGGGATGGTGGGTCGTTGCAGTGTCTGCGCAGGCGGTAACGCCGCCAACCCCAATATGGCAAGTGGCCACTTGGTCACGTGCGCCCGATCGAAGCCAGCCGATAGCGCGGAGCCCGAGCGACTGAGATTCCAATCTTCACGCCCAAAAAACTCAATCATTAGCAGACGACGCAGACGGCAGCCAGCAAGCACGAGATCTAGTTGATACACTGTGCGTCTACGATACATCAGTCCAGCCGCTATCGTATTGCACACAGCTGATGTGAAGCAGTCAAGCCGAGAAGACTACAGAGTTCATCGTCCACACAGATGCTTTCTATGAATATGTCGAATGCAAATAAAACAATCACAGCCCCCAGCGTCTGCGCAACGGCCCCACCGTGTCGCGCTAGAGACGCGTTGAGCCGCCCGCGCCATCGAGCTGTGGCCGCCCTGGCCGGCGCTCCTGGGACAACCGCCGGGCAAGCGCAGGCGTAATTTCGTCCCTCTCAAACAGCGCCAGGAGCGTCCCCCCAAAATCAGCGACCTGCATGACGTCCCAAATAGCCTCCTGCTCTAGCAGCAATAGCGCCTTGACAGATTCGCGCCCGCGCACGATGGGTCTCCATTCTGAGCTGCCTGACTCGGCGTGCCATTCAATAGCATCGATGAGGGAGAATTTTCTAGCGGTCGGAAACGCGCGCGACAAGTGCTTCACGATCATGCGATGCTGGAGGGGAAGATTGAGCTTCCAGACGGTGTCCACAAAGTGCAGCTCGAGGCTCTGCAGGGGCAGCTTGTGCTTGAGCGCGCACAGTTCCTGTACGATCTGCGCGGTGGGTGTGATGATTAGCTGACGATTTATCTGACTGCGGGCGATGCCCGAGAGTCGCTCACCAGCTCAGGGGGCATGCTAAACGTGTGGATGGGGAAACAGACGGATAGTCTGGACAGCTTGGGGGCGAGGCGCTCCATGGGAGTGTTGTACAGAATCCACGCTGGAAGCTCGAGCTCCCGGAGGTCACACTGTTTCAGAGGCGCCAGGAGCCGCTCGTCCGCGGAGAGGCTAGGGCCGAACCAATCGCTCGGATCGACGAGGCTGAGGCGCGATATCGCCTGACCACGGAGGAAGGAGGCTAGAAGATAGAGCGGACACCTCAAAGACTTGAGGTGGGGCAGGGCCGTGCTCTGGAGGGCATCGGAGCACCGGACTACATGCTCGCCTGCGTCGAGCGCCTCGCTGCCGTCCACTCCGACCACGGACAAATCAACGAGGGTGGGCGTGCGGTTCAGGAAAGCGAACAGGGTGGGGGCAGCCCTGGGGAGGAAAGGGACGTCGAGGTCGCGCAGGGCCGTGACGGTGTCCTTTGCGATGACAGCATGAGCGATAGGCCATTCTGTGGTGGACAAAGAGCGCAGGGCCGGAGTTCCGGCGAGGGAAGCGAGCGCTTGGACGTAGGGCTCCACGCCGTCTGCAGCTGTGACCTCGAACTTGGATAGGCGCATGAGGGGCGCGCTTGGCAAAGATGCCGCGGGAGTCGGAACAGCGAAGGAGCAATGTCTGATGCAGAGGACGTCGAGGGACTCGAGGCCGGCGACGGCATGGAGGAGGGGGGGCGCGACAGGGGTGCGGACGAGATGGAGGACACGGAGGTTGGGAAAGAGGGGGACGAGCTGGAGGTAACGAGGGAGGTCTTGTCGGGAGAGGCTGTACTGGTCGAGATCGTGAAGGGGGATCCAGTCTGAGAATTGGACCTCCCTAACGAAGGCGCCGAGCATGCACGCGGTCTCGTCGCCTTTTGCGAGCTGGTTCATCCAGAGTTTGCGGGCCTGGCGGATTCGGACCTGGGTGCCCTTGCTGGGGGTGCCGAGGAAGGCCATGGTGGCAAAGAGCTTGGGGGCGACAAGGGCGGAGAAGAGGCGGCAGACGAGGTTGAGGCGGGTGAGGATGGCTTTGCGCTCGGCGATGGAGGACTGGACGTCGTGGAGGAGCTCGTCGAGGATGAGCATGTAGACGTCGACGGGGATGGAGGTGAGACGTTTGGAGCCCGCCTGGCGAGCGGGACCTGCGATCCGCGACATTGAGGGCCGGGGTAAGTGGCAGCGCGAGGAGGGGGAATGGGGGCTCACTGTACGAATGGCGCACGGCCATGGTGTCTTGTCGGGCGGGACGGGGCGGGGCGGGACAGGAGAGGGCAGGGCAGGCGGTGGGAGGGCGAGCTGGGGCGGAGCGACGAGGACGGAGAGACGGCAAACGCGTCTTTATGAAGAGGACGGGCGCGTAAGGGGGTAGAGCCCAGCGAGCGCCCGAGGCGGAGGCAGGATCAGACACGCACGCGGCAAATAAGCTGGCGGGCGTCGCATAGCCCACTGGCGCCCGGCACCATCCTGCCCTCCGAGCGCCCGCTCCTCGCCACCGACCCGCGCCTTCTCCCACTCGCGCGCCTCTCCCCAGCGCCATCGCAGCCGCAGAGCGCGCGACTACTCTCTCTGTCTCTCTCTGTCTCCTCCCTCGTTGCCAACGGCGACCTCAGCCAAGCCTCTCGCACACCACTCCTCGTGTCCGCTCACTTGGCTCAATCTCTATCCCAACACCGCTCACTCGGCTTAATCTCCTATTCCCATTCCCATTCTACACCATCCAGCGTGCTACACGGCGTCACACCCCCCCTTCGATTCCACCCAGACCTGTCTACCCCGAGCCACATATCACAACTCTCCATGTACAGCACAGTCTAATCATTCATCCAGACCAGATCTATACGGAGATGAGTCCATCTACCCCCTCCATTATTCGTCCTGGCACTATCCGATCATGGCGTCTAATTCCCCATCTAATACCAACACCGTTCCCAGAGGCTTGCTGTCGCGGAGCTCCATTCAGGTCTAGAGAGGCCGCGCCTCTCTCCGTCAACGGCAATCCACCAGCATATTCAGATAGTGCACCACCGCCGCGGGGTGCGGATCTTGCCCTGCACGCACCGGCGCCGACTCGGGCGACCCCTCGGTCCTTTTCACCGACGGAAACAGCGCGACCAGGAACATATCGAACGCCTTCACAGCCCCCGGCGCGTCTGGCAACACCCCGTACCGTATCTCCTCCAGCCCGTGCCGCGGCTGCACCCTGCCCCACCCCTCCGCCTTGCGCATCCGCCCAAACGGCGCCAGCATCTCCTCCACCGACGGCTGCCCCTCGTCCGCAAACTCAGGCACGTCCACCGGTAGCGCCAGCGACTTGAGCATGGGACACATCTTGGCCAGAGACGCGTACACCCCCGGCGTCAGCCCCGGCCCCCAATCAGAGCGCTGATCTCGCGTCCCCAGATCCAGGTGCTCGACCTGGCGCCACCACTTGCCGATCTCGCCCACGTCCTTGTCGTCCAGGCAGGGCAGCCGAGCCGCCGTCAGCCTAAAATACCGAAGGCTGATAAGCCCCGCAAGCGGGCGCAGCAGGTCCAGCGTGAACCAATCGGGGAACTCTGTCCGCGGATCGCCTTCCTCCTCCTCAAAGTCGGGCCAGTACTCCAGCACGAGCGACTCCAGACTGCTCCCGGCCGTCGCGACCAACGCTCCGAACAGCGGGAGCAGCGCCGACGGCCCGTCAGGGGCGCACACATCGAAATGCACGCTTCGGAGGACACTGGGCGGCATGAGCGGCAGCATCATTCCAAATAGGCCCGGCGTGGAATTGATTCGGAGGTCGCGCAGCGCAGGAAAGAGTAACGGCGCCGAGGCGGAAGACACGGACGCGCACATCGACTCCGCGGTAATGTGGTGCGCCTCGATGTCGAGCGCCTCGAGGCACGGAGCGGCCGTGGCAAGCGTAAGGAGGACCTGCGTCGAGAGCTGCTTCCCGACGCGGAGCTGCAGTGCGGTGAGCGAGGCGAACGAGAGGGCCTGCCGGACGAGCTGCTCCGAGGCAGCCCCGCGGAGACGGAGGGTCTCGATGGGAACCGCCGCTGCGCCTACTCGCTCGAGATATTGGAGCATGGCGTCACTCCTTCCTACCACGGTCGAGCAGCCATCAATAGCAGGCATACCCGGGTCCTCCGCATAGCCTATGCTGATATCGACGTCACGCAGTGCCTTGGAGACCGCCCACAGAGGCGCGGGCTCGCACCCCCTCCAGCCAAACTGCGCGTGCGCGAGCTGCGGCAGCGCGACGAGCGATTGGAAAGGCGCCGGCAGCGCAACGGGCTCGACGTGTCTGATGGCCTTCACACGGGAAGCGTACGCGTTCAAACGCGTGACGGCGTCCCGCTGCACCTGATCGTCCGCCTGGACGCGATTTGTTAGATGGGCCATAGCTGGGCGCGGGCGGGCCGCAGGGAGGACGCACCGCGGTGTCCGTGCTCTCGAGAAGACTGGGGAGCAGCCGGACCAGGGGCTTGATGCTATCCAGACGGCACCACAACCTATTCAGCGCGGGGTCCTGCCACGCCCTGCAGCATCTGGCCACTTGACACAGCGAGTAGCGGTAGTCTCGTTGCGGCCAGGACGAGCAGCCGTCGAGCACTAGCTGGAAAATTTCATCGATGAGGAGGACTGAGTGCATGGCGCGTTGGCGGAGATGAAGGCGCCGTGGAGAGATTGCAGTCCCAGCCTGCGTTCGAGTCGCGAAAAATCTAGTGTACGACGTGGCATGGTCGTCAGAGCAGTGTCTTATATCGATTGCTTGCGCCAGCGGCTGCGCTCGCGCTGCAAAATTTCGGGACGCCGTGCTGTGATTGGTCCGCGAGACAAGTACCGCCACCGTCGGCGTCCCCAACTGGCGCCATTCTGTCCGTTTCAATCTCTTTCATTCAGCTGACAGCAAGAGTACAGTGCGTGCCATCCTAGATGTATTTCGCATGGATACAAAGAAAGCGCTACATATGAGATCCTACAGAGCACAATGCTTAGACAACAGGGGGCTTAGTGCCAGGCGTGAAGGTGTAGGTCAACCCACACTTGCCGCAGTACTGGCGATCTTGGTGGAAAGCCATCTGGAGAGGCCCTATCAGCAAGTGTCACCAGGGCGGCGTTGTCTACACTCACGAAGATACCGGCACCGCACTCGGCGGACGGGCATTCACGACGGAGACGCTTGATCTTACCGTCCGACTCCACCTTGTAGTATTTCAAGATGGACATCTTGACCTTCTTGCGCTTGTGCTTGATTTTCTTGGGGGTCTGTTTCGGGCACGGTCAGCCTCTGCATACTAAACATGAGTCGCGCGCACTCACGTTGTAGGTTTTTTTCTTGCGCTTCTTCGCACCACCACGCAGGCGGAGCACGAGGTGAAGGGTAGACTCCTTCTGGATGTTGTAGTCGCTGAGGGTGCGACCATCCTCGAGCTGTTTGCCGGCGAAGATGAGACGCTGCTGGTCGGGGGGAATGCTGATAACCGAGTTCAGTAACTACAGTCAAATCCGCCGGGAGCGGACTCACCCCTCCTTGTCTTGGATTTTGGCCTTTACATTGTCGATGGTGTCGGAAGACTCCACCTCGAGGGTGATAGTCTTGCCCGTGAGGCTGTGTGAAAGTCAGTATACTAGACCAACAAAAGAGTGCAATCAGCTCACGTCTTCACGAAAATCTGCATCCTGCTGTTCCGGCGTAAGCTCTCAGTCTCATAGCACGATGAATGCTCGAATTCTACTCACTTGACGGACGCCTCTGTCTGTCCAACGATCTAAACGATGGAGTCGTTGACAAAAGCTAAAACCGGGTATGAGAATCCGAAATGCGATCGGGCGTAGTTATATAGTCGATGATTTGTAATCCCATCGCTCTGTGGATGGTCCGTGCACATTGGTAACAAGGTTCAAACTCCGCGTATATAGTTCGGCATCTTGCGCCGAGACGCGCTGCTCGTGACACGCGTTGGGTTGGACGCGTCGCGCGACGCGACCTGCCACGCAGCGACACTCCTCTTTCGTACCTATACTATTCTGACGTTTTCGGACAAGAAGCCCGACTTATCGCATTTATGGATACCGATGAAGATGTTCAGATGATTGAGAGCGAGATAACCCCAGTGCCATCTGAAGCAAAAGGGAAAGGAAAGGCAGTAGAGCTTAATGGTGGTCATGACATCGAGAACTTGCCCTGGTGCGCTATGTCTTACTTTGCTTCATTTATGAACCCTTAAATACTGTTTTAAGGGTGGAGAAATATCGGCCGGTCAGCATGGATGACATTGTATCTCACAAGGACATTACCAGCACCAGTAAGTGCTACTTGATTGGCATGTGCGCCTAATCACCAAAGCTGCTGTCTCTAGTCGAAAAGTTCATCGAGAAAAACCAATTACCGCATCTACTCTTCTATGGTCCACCTGGCACGGGTAAAACTTCAACCATCCTGGCTGTGGCGCGTCGGATATATGGAAACGACTATCGCAAGCAGATACTGGAGGTGCGTCTGCTCAGTCCTTTGAACTATTCAGAAACATATCACGCTTTTTTACAAGCTCAACGCTTCAGACGACCGCGGTATCGACGTTGTGCGCGAGCAGATCAAGAACTTTGCAGAGACGCGCACACTATTCCTCAAGGGCTACAAGCTCATCATCCTGGACGAGGCGGATATGATGACAACCGCGGCCCAAGCAGCCCTGCGACGCGTCATTGAACAGTACACGAAGAACGTGCGCTTCTGCATCATCTGCAACTACGTCAACAAGATCATCCCCGCGATCCAAAGTCGCTGCACGCGCTTTCGATTCTCGCCACTGCCCATCCCCGAGGTCGAGCGGCGGCTCAACAGCGTGATAGAAGCTGAAGGGTATACTATATAGGTTGTCGGTAGTATCCGTGCAGCTCACCCAACTGTCGTGATGCTCTAGGGTAAAACTGACCGAGGACGGCAAGAAGGCACTGCTCAAGCTCTCGAAGGGAGACATGCGGAGAGCCTTGAACGTTCTCCAGGCGTGTCACGCCGCGTTCGATCTCATCGGTGAAGCACAGATTTATGACTGTACCGGTAGCCCACACCCATCAGATATTGAGACCGTCGTCAACTCGATGCTCTCAGACGACTTCACCACCTCTTATAAGAGTAGGTTGCATTTCGCTGTGGTCACATTCAGCCGCTGGAACACATCTCACTGTTGATGCTATAGTGATCTCAGCGCTGAAGGTCGAGCGCGGCTTGGCGCTGCCGGACCTCATCAACGGTGCCTATGAGTACATCGAAACCATCGACTTCAAGCCACATGTGCGCGTTTATGTGCTCGACTTCCTGGCGACCACAGAGTAAGCTTGCGCAGTGCGTTACACTCCCTAGTCATTCGAAACTGAGTCTCGTTCTGCGCAGGCACCGACTATCTACCGGAGCGAGTGAGAAGATACAGCTGACGGCGTTGCTGGGTGCTTTCAAAAATGCGGTAGAGCTGTCCGCTAAATCGGCGTGAGTTGCCTGCGCTTGTAGGTGGCGGCGTTCAATCGTGTTGTGGAATTTATTGTACTATGATTGTATCTCCTTAACTGAGCCTCTATATAGCCCGCGCGGCTGCTTCTGCAGTTCGCATGTCGGATATGTCTCTGGTCACTGTCTGAATGTTCGGAGCAAACCCATGTACTTCATCAAGAGGCCAATCTATCTTGAGACTCTTTTTGCACTACCAGCGCGATCTTTGCGCTCGACTACTGTCTTTGGTGCGGTTTTGCGACTGCGGGGAATCGCTTTTGATTGCGCGATGGACTCGAATCTTGAAGTGCATTGGCAATGTAAAATCAAAATGGCAATCTGAGATTTGAGTCTATAATCACGTGGTGCTGGTGTATGACACGCTAGCGTCGCGCCTGGCGACTGAACACGCTGGCTACTGGCTGTCTCAGTGCTTGCAGTTGTGTTTATTATGCAATTCGCCTGCGTTTCCTTGGTCTCGTCTTGATCTAACGACCGATATTCTGACTGCTGCTTTCCTCATTGCTGCCCCGGAAAGGCGTCATACTCGAAGCTCGAACGGCAGTTGAACCCAATACGGGTCCTAGTAGTTCACTGTTCTTCGACGGCGTTTCCCTCATGGCATTCCCCCTTCCTTCACATTTGCCGCGGCAGAAAGATCCGCAAGATGTATCAACAAAGATACTTACGAAGATCTCTGAGGCTACTGCCAAATCTCTGAACGCGGAACTGGCTTCGTCTTGGGTGGCTGAACTTGATGACACAATTACGCAGACAAAAGTACCGCATTGTATCTATACTACCTAGCCGCTTCTTACCCGGGATGAATAGGAACGAATATACGAACGAATATCTCATGATCTCCCAGCTTTTAATGAGCAACTGACTAGTGCTCGGTCCATTCAGGAGCGCTTGGGCGTTCTCACTACGAACGTCGATAGTTTAAGCAGTCATCTGTCGGATTCGGAGGTAAGGGAATAAGAATCGTACTGTGATCTCGTAGCTGACAATTCGCCCGATCATGAAGTCAGGGCTTGTGCCTAGATTATTAGGCGTTCTCAGCAGACATGCAGCCCTTGCGCAGGCCAGCCTCGACGCAGAAACGAAATGGAGTGCTTTGTCTCATCTCCTCCTATGCAAAAACAGCTACCATGAGCTTGCACGTTTCTCCCAGGAAGGTCGATTGCCTGAAGCGATGGAGGTGTGCCAGAAATTTGAGGCAGACCTTAGTAGTGCACCGCGACCACTGGAACGGAGTTCTGTCATGGGTGACTTACAGGTAAGCGCATAGATACTTGTCCCATCTTTTCATAATTACATTATGATATCACCTAGCGCAGCTTCAGAGTGCTGAAAGCTAGAACTGAAGAACAACTGGACGACGCATACACTCGCGGTGTAAAAGTATCACCATCCGAGGTATTCATATCAACCTCCGTTCAAGGTGTGTATCCACTTTTCCTTTGAGATGTCGTTTTGATGTGCATAAAGTGAGACAATCCGACACAAGTATATTTTTGTCGTCTGTCCTCGCCGCTCTACCACAAGCGACCCTTACTTCTCATTTAGCATCTCTTCGCCGAGATCTTATTACACATTATGTCGACTTCACGTTAAAGCAGCCAGCTTCCGTGGTCATCAGCTCTACAAACAGTATTTCCGGGGCAAGTGAACACAGGTTGAACTTGTATCCTGCACCACCAAACTCAACAAATCCATCGTCTCGACTGGAGAACCTGTCGACGATTCTTACCTTCATTGATACTCACCTGCTACCTCATCTTCCATCAACAGAACGGGCTTCCTTCTCGCAGTCGCTGTGCAAGCCACTTAGGCTGGCCGTGCTCAATCATCTCTTGGCTCCTTCCTTGCCCTCCTCACTTGACGACCTCCCTGACTTCCTTCATTTGGTCCAAAAGGCGCGTCAGTTTGAGACTGATTACATTCAGTCAGCACTTGGGGACACGGGTGAGGCGGAGATCAAAGTTTGGTCCGATAATGTTGACGTGCACTATGAGCGCAAGAGGCGCACTGAACTATTGGAGACGGGTCGTCATATAGTCCTTGCTGCGGAGGACGAGAGCCAGAGATTCTTTGTTGGCGTGCCAGCCATTCCAGGACGGGAGAGCAAGCTAAATGACCGCCCAGATACAGAAAAACCTGCGGCTGAGGCCGCTGAGAATGAGGCCGAGACTGCATGGGGGTTTGACGACGATGGACCGAGTGACTCGCAGAATGCTCCAGAGGTTGAAGAGGACGCATGGGGCTTTGGAGACGATGCAGAGCCTGAGACGGCCGCTGAACCTGAGCTACAGGCAGAAGTGCCTCTCGAGTCTATGGCGGCCTCGGAAGATCCGGATCCGGGCGATGCTTGGGGGTGGAATGACGACTCAGAGACTCTTAATGACGATGATCTAGACGATCCTTGGAATGATGGCTGGGGCGATGATTCCAATGCTAAACCTTCACATGCGAACGGCACGAATGGCGCAAACGGCAATCATGTCAAAGCAAAGCCTGCAACACGACTGGAAAAGCTGTCATCAAAGGGTAAGAACTCTCATACAAAATCTCTGCAGGCGCCTGCGCCTGCACAACTTCCCCCACCAACACCTTTTATGTCATCGCCGAAGGAGGCGCTGTCATCCCCACATCTATCACAAGCGGTTGAGGAGTCGTATATGGTGTCTGGCCGCTCCAAAGAGTTAGTGCAACATACGGAGCGAATCTTGTCCGAGGGTGCCCGCCTTGCATCCTCTGGTATATTCTCATCCCAGCGCAGTCCGACGGTTCCTATAGCATCTCTACTCTTACAAGCAGCACCTTTTACCCTGGAACTTTACCGTGCTATCTATCCTGTGACATGCTCTAAGGCCCTCATGGCGTCACCGAAGTTATCTATCCGGTTCTCGAATGATTGTTTGTATTTGAGCGCAGAAGTTGGCCGTCTCTTAGACAGTTTGACGCCATCCACGACTTCCGTGAAGACGAGACTCGAGGAGTGTAGAGATCATCTGAAACTGCTTGGCGAGAGTTGGTTTGCCGAAACCATCGTAAGTGACCGTAATGCGATACCTGCCATACTGACTGACATCCCAATTTTTTCTAAGAATCGACAATGTCAGTTGGTCAATGAGACTCTGGATAAAGCCGAGGGGTTTGTAGACACAATGGAGCAAGACCGTTTTGACGAATGCGAGAGTGCTCTTAGCCAAGTGCTGCAGCGTGTGCGACAGCTTGCGCAGGAGTGGAAGGTCTACAGCGTTTCACTAATTATCTTATTAAGACGATGCTCATTTTGTGTTAGGGCGTTCTGACAAAGAGCAAATATTACGACGCAGTTGGTGCCACAGCTGAGGCCGCGCTTTCGCGCGTGCTTGCGGATATTCTTGCGCTACCAGATATTACTGCGGATGAATCCCACCGTTTGAACGAGCTGTGCCATATCTTGAATGCCTTAGAAGGTCTTTTCGTTAGTGATCGGGTGAGATTAGTTGCATTCGCGATCTAATCAGATGCTGATATTTATGAATCCATCCCAAGACCACCTTCGTTGTCGCTTACGTACCATCTTGGCTGAAATTCTCATATTTGTCCGAGCTTTTGGTGAGCTATTTCCCGTACGTCACAGGTAGTCGTCGTGCCTCATCACTTTCTTTAGGAGGCATCAATTGCGGACATTTCGTACTTATTCGAAGAAGGTGCTCTCGTTGACTTCGAAGTGGACGAACTTGTCAACCTCGTGCGGGCTTTGTTTGCGGATACCCCACTGAGGACCACTACTATTAATAAGTTATTGCGTGGTCACCCAATTGGACCTGTGCAGTCCTGACCGGCTTCGCCCGCATTCATTCATGTACATAGCCTTACCCACGGATCATTTTTCAAATATTGCCCACTTTGTTTACGTATTTAGTGCACCTTTATGTGAAATTACTGTCTGTGGGTCTTGGTTGAGCGATCAGCAATCGTTCAACGTTTGATATTTCGGTACTCAGGTCAATGTTGGCGCTGATTGCCTTTTGAGGCTAAACGCACGGACCATGCTTCAGGACAAATAGGTGCAAACACGTTGGACGCTGGAGACCTGGGAAAGGGACATTCTAACCACGACCGGCACAATATCGCACATTGAAGACGTTCTCCCAGCATAGTGGTCTTAGATGGCGTCCGTTGAGGTAAGTACTAATTTTTGATTGTGTACTACGCAGTATTGAGCTCCCACGTTTCGGTGTAGGCGTTTGAATCCACGCTTAAAGATCTTGTTCATGCAAAGAGACTTTCGGCCTCTAAAATGACTGTCCTCACTGATATCGCTCTGAAGTGCATGCATGTACGTCTATTCATTATATGATTTTGCGTATGCTTACCGTGCTTCTTCAAAATTGCTTTATGTACATGTCCCACAATTGGGTCTTCCCACCAGAATGACACTCAGCTCGTATCGTCCTTATTTCGAATGCACAAATCACTGCCCCAATCAGCGAAGACATCAAGCCTATATGTTTTCGATGCTCTCTCGAGGGCCGCAAGGAATCAGGTAAACAAGCATGGTATTACTGGGGACATCAACTCCGAGCAGGGCAATTGTGCCACATTCTTGCTAAAGGTCGAAGGTGTACTAGACAGTTTATTTCGGGATCTTGTGTCCTCGCGGACCCCTGAGACTAAGGTTAGTGCCTAGCCATCCTTACTGACTATCGTGCTCCTTGATTGGAGCCGTTGTACGATCTCAATGTTGTTTGTCCTCCGATTGTCGACCCTAGACCTAGAGTCTTTCATGGACGTCTGTTTCCGATGCCGTAGGGTAGGCTCTAACATTGGCATGTCGCGTGGAGTATGATCAACTTGCAGCCGACTGGTAGAATGTTTTGTCTAACATTGTAGCATTTCGCGCGCAAGCGCGGTCGCATCTTCGTTAACACGCGTCCACGCCTCGATATATGCGTCGACGGATAAGCCACCAGCGCGCTATCACATGATAATCGTCAATGGTCGTTTAGCTCTCATCTCTGTCTCGGCTCCATAGAAATGGCCTGTATCCTGACCGCTTTCTGGAATCGTCTCTTACAGGAAAAGTGCAAGAAGATCCTTGACATTTGGGCCAAATCGAATACGTTCCCTTCCGCAGTACTAGGACGTCTGACGCAGTATGTGAAGGGCGCTACAGAAAAAGGTGCTCATCAATGTTTATATTTGTTCGCTAAGTATATCATCCGTTCGTGTAATCCCAGTCATTTTGCTACACACGAACGACTTTTAAGTGAGCATTTGAACTGAAACATGATCTGTCTGTGTCAGAGCCCGACAATGTAGTTGCTACTACCGCAGAACACCGACAACCTATCTCAACAACCTCCATATCGCCCCCGCCCGCGGCACCACCCGCGGCGCCACTCCCTAACTCGCTGACCGGAGAGTCGGTCCAATCCACGTTACTCGCACTGTTGAGTCAAGCCAAAAACGCAGTAGCTGCCGCCAACAATGGGTAAGCTGGCCTAGCATTTTCGCCTTCCATTGGCAATACTCATTGTCCATCAGCCAAATATCTTCAAACACAACCACGCTTGCACCTATTTCAGGACCTGCGTTGGATGCGAATCAGCTTGCGCTGTTCCAGCAACTTACACAGGCAGCTAAACAGGGGAACGGGATTTCTACACAGCCCATATCATTACCTGTGTCATTAGTCCCGTCCTCATCTTCAACAAGTGCTATACCTGTAGTGCCTCTTGACGAAAGTCGCCCACAGCCTCCGCCATTTCGAGATGATCACAGCGGGTTCGATCGTAGAGAACCACCTTATAACTCGTATGGCGGCCCAGACCGCCCTAGAGACCGTGATGATTATTACGATGATCGCCGCCCCCACAGAGGAGGCTTCAGAGGCAGCCATCGCGGTCGCGGTCGTGGAAGATGGGACGATCGCGACAGGCACAGAGACCGCGGCCGAAACCGGGAATGGAACTCTCCTCCTAGGGGAAGAGATAGCCGCTCTCGAAGTCCTCCTAGTAGATACGGCGGAAGGAGAGATCCCAAGCCATACAGCCCTCGGAGACACTCCGTCTCGCAGGGCGACAGGTACAGGACTAATCCGGCAGGGCCTCCTGGCGCTCCCGACGGGTCGGTGGGAAAAGACGAGTTTGGGCGAGATGTCAGGATGGAGTCACCAGCTACCGGATCTGATTCTACACCTACAGGAAATGGAAGAGGACACCAATTTTCCTGCCCGCCCGGACCTTCATCGTTTGCAGCTGTAGAACAAGGGAGTTCCACGTTTTCCGTTTCGGATAAACAATCGCCGCGACGTGAAACGTCGACACCACACTCACCACCCATTAAAAAATCCGACATATCCGTTCAGTCCCAACAGAAGGGAGGACTAGATTCATTCGATATGTCTACTTTTGATCCTTCGTCAGCTGCATCTTGGGAGGCACTTGGGGATGCTTGGATTGCTACGCACGGATACCCACCGTCACATACTGAAGTGATGCAATTCATGCTAGCCTCTATGGGAGATTTCCCCGTACCTAATGAGCAAACTGGCCAGTGGCCCGCACAGGAAAATGATTGGAACGACTCGAGTTGGCGCCAGCCCAATCAGGGTCCTTGGCGGGGTGGCAGGGAACGTGGAGGCAAAGGGCGTGGAGGCGGTGACTATGGACACGGCAACGGCCGGGGTGCGGGTTTTGGGGGGACGCGAGTTTACGAGGAGCCAGATGAAAGAGGCATTCATTATGGCGCGGATTATGACACAAATATCGATTCATGGCAAGTCCCAACCGTAGAGCACGCCGACCTGTTAGCACCTGGTAAGGGGGGTTCAGACGACGGACAAGGTGGGATGCCCGGGTTAGGAGGAAGCACAAGTACGGGTAAGATGCAAAAGGTTGGCGATAAATGGGTCTTTGTTCGGACTGAAGCCTCGTAAGTAGCATAGGCAGTTACATTATGAATGAGCTAGCACCATATTTGATAGCCTACACCGCTTCTATCTCGTTTGTGTGTTCCATACCAGCCAGCTCATATTGATATCCGTTGCCTTGCGTAGCATTCACGTCAGTCCGGTAGACTGCTCGGGCGTGAGTGCTGATGACCCCCTTTGCGCTTGTGCTGTAAGTAACGAAGGGACTAGGCCAGTATATCAGGTAGCAGACTATCGCCGATACTATTCCGATGAGACTTCCGATGATGACGTCTTCCTTGTGATGTTTCTGTATATTTCCCAATATATACCTCGTCAGCGAAAAATGTCACTTGTCCATGACACATACGTTATCTTCGATGCGACTGACCGCAACCCATGTAGCGAAAAATAGAGGAATTATAGACAACGTCAGCCTAGCCAACTTGCTAGCAAGTAGTGATCGCGCAGGCGCAGGCTGTGTGATGCGCCATGCCCCCGTCATCCCCGCAATCCAGAGTGACAAGAACATCATTCCAGAAAATGCAGTAGAGGAATGACCGGAGGGAAATGAGCGTCTACCGTCAAGAATATCTTCGACTTTCCTATGTATACGGAATCAACATGTTTGTTTTCTTCAGAGATGGTAGACCATATCACTGACCCTCCACAGGCTTTCAAAGTTTTGTCCCAGTCGCACCTGGAAAGAAAGTCAGGCCGAAGTCGACCTATAAACACCATATCAGATATCGCTCTTCTTTAACGTCAAGGTTCCGATTCACGGACCGACTCGATTTTTTAAAACTTCCGTGACGAGTTCTGCCAGTCCTCTAAAAGAGAATAATATTTCATAACGCAGAGCGATACTTTCTGACATGGATACGAACCTGCATGCCCACAGAGAAAGGCAGCTATGGTGAAGGTTCAAGGCTGAACGTCGCAAGACCGCGGCGACACCCATAATGCCTAAAGGTAATATTATAGCTATCATCCAATTCAGATTGCCGCTGATTCTATGTGATACAGATGCGTACGAGTTCAAAACTCGGGCATTAAGCAAAAATTGACAACAGAGAAACTGATCAACTCACTGGCTTTTTCTGTGTTTTTGGTCAATAAGAGGATCGTTTCGATCAAAATCTCGCTCAAAGGGTGGAAACCCTTTCACGAACGAAGCAATTAGCCAGCAAATGCATGCCACGGACCTAGGAGACCATCAAATGATTAGCCCCAGGTGTGATCAAGTGGTATCTGTGTAACGCACCAATCAAATATATATGATCTGTCCCACCAATCGAAGGCGTCTTGGCCGAAAACTTGTTTCATCTTCAAACAAACGATGCTTAGGAATGGAGGCATTGTGTCCAAACTCTCCTAGTCTTCGCCGGCGATCAGCAAAGCCAACAGCAAATTCTATGCTTAATACCTGGGGTCGATTGTTCCTATTTTCAACAAGTATACGCACAATCAGGGGACCTAACTATCACAGCAACGCGCACACGACGAAGTTCGCTCCCTGCTAAGTTAGGACAATCAATGGGATAAGAACCTTGTACACTTCCTAATACAGCTTTAATTTACTTTAACGACGCACGTTCGTGCAGAGCCAGCGCTCTGTTCAATATTGTTATAAGTTGGAGGCTTGTGCGCGCAGATCCTGGGGAGAGGGAGAGCTGTGTCGTGGGAGACGTTAGCTGCGTAGAAGTGCGCAGGACGTTTTTCGCGAGCATTCACGCAGCAATACATTCCATGGGAAGTTGAAACTTGAATTGTGGCGGCACGGCGCCAAGACACCTAAACCGCTGCCCGGTCGGATTGGCGAGCGCCTCTCACATTCGCGCTCGTCACGCAATCGTCACGTGTGACTGATCGTGAGTGTGACGCGCATCACATAATCATTCTGGCGCGACTCGACGCGTCCACCTTACTCTCGCACCACCACCTCTCCTCATCCGCGTCCCCGTCGACACTATGCCAACAGGACGGAAAGCCACTTCTGCAAAGAGTCAAAAGCCTATAACATCATTCTTTGGTGGTCGTAGGGCTCCTCAGCCTGAGTCCGAGGACGACGCGTCCTCCAACAGTGAAGCTGAAGCCTCTGACTCAGAAGTAGAAAGACCGACTGTGAATGCGACTAAGGGAGCGGCCCCAGACTCTTCAGATCTTCCTCCCATCCATGAAATTCCTCTCATTTTCTCCGATCTTGTCCGACGCGTACCTGAGATCAAGGCTGTGGCCGAACACCTGGAAGGCCGCAAAATGCGCGTCGCAACTATGTGTTCTGGGACCGAGTCTCCTCTCCTTGCTCTGGAGCTTATTCGCAGGTCCATTCTCGAACAGTACGAAGTCAATCTAGAGTTTGAACACGTGTTCTCGTGCGAGATTGAGCCGTTCAAGCAGGCGTACATTGAGCGGAATTTTCAGCCGCCGTTGCTGTTCCGGGATGTATGTGAATTGGGAGATACTCATGCGTGAGCACAGCCATTATGTCCCATAATTATTTCATGTCAAACGTATCAATCTATAGGACCACCGCGTATGGTGCCCTTGCGCCCGTCCCCGGGGATGTCGATATTCTCATAGCAGGGACGTCCTGTGTCGACTATTCCAATTTGAACAATGAGAAGCAAGACATCGATGCCAACGGCGAGTCTGGTCGGACATTTCGCGGCATGATGTCTTGGGTCAAGAACCACCAGCCGCCCTTAGTCATCCTGGAGAACGTTTGCTCAGCTCCATGGCCGAGGGTAGTCGATTATTTCAAGAAGAATAACTATAGTGCCGAGTTTTTGAGAGTAGACACGAAGACGTTTTATATTCCTCACACCCGCACGCGCGTTTACTTACTTGCGGTAAACCAAAGGGATTCTGGGCTTCCACAGAAATGGAAGAGTTGGATAGGCAACCTGAAGAGACCGGCATCTTCTACCTTAGACGCGTTTCTATTGCCATCAGATGACCCTCGGATACACCAAGCAAGAGAGAAGCTTGTATCAGAAAGCTTCAATGGAGTTGATCGTCGTACGGGTCGTACGGACTGGGGCCGATGTGAGTCTCGGCATCAAAGAGCAAGACTAGAAGAGGAACTGGGCTTGAAGCGCCCCCTCACTAGTTGGGATGAAGGTACGTGGTATTCTGTGCGACTGCGGTAACATGCAACTCAGATTGAACTATACAGGCGGTTTTTGTAAAATGCCGGATTTTACATGGAATGACTGGGGTGTTGGTCAAGTGGAACGTGTCTGGGACTTGATGGACATCAGTCTTCTCCGGTCTGCTAAGAAGGGTGTTGATCCGTCGTATAAAACGTAAGTCGCTGGCCATTCATTCGATCTTAGAAAATGCTGACGGAACACTTGTAGGCAAGTGTGGAATCTATCTCAGAACGTTGACCGTACTATCGGCTCGAGCAAAGTTGGTATCTGTCCGTGTCTCACACCTTCCATGATTCCGTACATCACAAATCGTGGTGGCCCTATGGTGGGCATCGAAGCGTTGTCCATGCAAGGTTTGCCCGTCGACGAACTGCTGCTGACGCGTGAGACCGAGGATCAGCTGGCAGATCTTGCTGGTAATGCCATGTCTACCACAGTTGTAGGCGCATGCATCATGGCTGCTCTGATTGTCGGTAAGAAGCTTTTGAAAGACGGCAATGACGCGGCGACATACGAGTCGAAGAACGCTATGGACGTAGACGAGGATGTGTCTGATGCGGATGACGAGGCTATGCAAGTTGATCAATCTACGTCGTCTATGGCTGTAGAAGACCGTATTTCTGGAGAAGATCAACTAATCGAGAAGCCTCTGGATTTGGTGTCGACTGCGCAGGTGGCTCTCGAGAGTTTGTTGCATAATGCAGAGAAGAGTGCTCGTCTATGCGAATGCGAAGGGCGAAAGGACATTACGGATCGCCAGCTCAACCGTTGTGTTGATTGTGGTTCTTCGTCTTGTGTCAAGTGTGGCGGTCGTCCTGAGCATAACTACGAACCTATTAACGTCGTTGCAAGTCCTCGTTTACCTCCCCTGACATTCGCCAAGGAGCTCAAGTCCACTCTGCCGATGTCATTGACGCTCTCAAACGTCACTGTGAAACTTCTCGACGAGCTGAAGGAATCGGCTGGCGTGGACATCCCTAGCAAACGTTGGTCAGGCTGGCGGTCTGCCGTCCTTCGTGCTGCCGAGCAGCCTCTGCATTTTGTAGAGCCGAAACGCCAGGAAGTTTGGGCAGCCACTTACCAGTCACCCGTCGCATACCTGGAGCTACAGCTTAACCCCCTGCAGCCCGAGTGGCGTCTCTTTGCCAAACCGAAGGATAGCGAACCTGCTAACTCTGAGATCCGGAAGGCACTCGAATCGCCCATTGGTCGGTTCGTGTGTAGCGATGGGCTGTTCGGTGGACGATGGGACTTCGCACTCCCCTACACAACGTCTGTGAAAATCGATATCACTGGTAGCGAATTGGTCCCAGCTTGGGAAGCTAAGCTCGGGCTGCAGGGCAATGAGTTCCGTGACAAGATGGTAAACTCCAGGCTCGAGATCAGCGTCTCGGAAGAAGACATCGAGCATTTCGATAGGGACATTTCCGGCGTGTATACTCTGCTCGACAAGTGCGGTACAGCCAATTCTGCGCTACACAAGAGGAGCCTTGAACCTGCGGATGGTAACCTTCCGCCGTTGTTCCTCTTGATGGACCCGACACGCTGTGGCGACCCAGATGATGATTGTTTCGTCATTTCTATCAGCAAGAGACGATACGAATATGGCGAGACGCGCCCCCTCATATGCCAATTTGATTCAAAATGGAGACAGTCCGATGCGCACGATACTCAAAGTGTCAAATGCTACATCCCATACAAGTGGGTAGAAGCTTCCGATGTCTATTTGATGGTAAGACTACTAGCCATCCTTTTGAAGCTTATATTGTCATGTTTCTTTGAATTCAATAGGCCGCTGCAGGAGCCGATGCTCGCTACGCCATTCCCGGCAAGCATTTGGACATCAGCGTTTCGACCGATGCCTGTACCAGTGCAAATGCGTTGCTTGTATGCCGCATTCCTCTGCATGACCAGGCAGGTCCCGAATGGCCTCGCGGTTCCTGGAGGGAAGTTGACAGAGTCCATGAGCGTGGCACTTTCAAGGCTCTCGCCTGGCTCATGGAGCGGATCCGGAACGTAGGCGATCGCTTTGGGGACTGGCAAGACTCGCAGGTATCCAAGAGCCACGATCACTGTGAACGTTGCGCTCCGACAGCTCCCAAGCTCCGCTGGACGAAGGTCAAGAAACGTGTCGTGGCTATCGAAGACAAGGCTCAGGCTGGGGAATATGAACGAAGCCTCAAGCGCCGCCCTGCGCCCTTTGTTACACAGCTCAAGCTCGAGGAGAACGGCGTAGGCATTGTCCGGATTGGTGTCAACATATCTTCCCTCATGCACCGCGCCATGTCCCGGCTGCCATCTGCAGGTAGGACTGGGAAGATCACAACGTCATGGCGGTTGACCACCGACTTCATCCCCGCCGCCAAAATACATATGCCACAATTCGAGCTCTTGAGTAATCGGCGCGATAAGGAGCACACCCAACCCCCGAGTTTCAAGATCCCTCTCCGCCCCGAACAGCTTCGCTCGTTGACATGGATGTTAGCACAAGAGTCTAAGGATGCGGCCCCTTTCATCGAAGAAGAGATTTCCGAGGCTATATTAGAACCACTGGGGTGGAGGGCCGAAGGGCGTGCGCAAAGATC